GTGAATGTTAACATTCAGTTATGGTTGTTTGACTGGATATGGTCACATTATTTTTAAGGTTTATAAATAATCTCAGATAACCGGCGTCTTCAAGGCACTGCTTGATGTCCAAGTGTGCAGTCGTGTTAAATGTCTCACTGCAGGTTGGCTGAGCATCTTAATTGTCTGTTGCAGAGCGAAGGTTCAAAAAAAACAAAAACAAAAAAAAAAACGGGGGGATTGGGGGGAATATTTTGTTTATTGCTTCGCCGGTGCCAGTGTGTTATTGCAGTGTGGTGCTAAGTGCTATACTTGTTAAAACCATTACCACTGCCTCTCCACATGACTTACTTTATTACTATTTTCCCCCTTCCATTTTGACTCACAAATTATAGTGTGACCTTAGACTGACTTGATTCCCCAGCAGAAACATTTTGCTTGGAAACGGCATTAGTCATAACACTGCCTAGCAAAAGTGTGATTTATTTAATTATTTATATATATTTTTAAGAGTTTGCAGCAGATTGAAAGTGTTTATTCTGCTACGGCAAACTTTTTACCCAGGGGGTCTCGTCTGAAGAACTGGGACACCATCCCGATGTACGAACTGTGTTAGTGTGTGATTCCCCCTGAGCGCCACAGACCTGGAAGCACAGACACTCTCTGACCTCAGCCACATGGAAAGTCCCACTCAGTCTTTCTACATCGCATAGGCAGGATTTTCCAGTTTAATTACACCACTACATTGCAATTTCACATTAAGGTTGGTTGAAATTACTTTTTCTCCCTTGTTAAAGCTTCCTCCTGCTTACACAAAGGTTTTTCGGTTCATCTGACAAGCCAAAATGGTTTGTTATAAAGTTGAATTATAGAGTTATAGCATCACTTCCCTGTGTAGTTTTAAAGTTCATTTAAAAATGTTGGGTTTTAGTGAACGTGTTGCTGTTGGGCACTGTGGTGGAAAGGAAAATATTTATCTGTTTCGGTACTTTTGAGGAGGTTTTAAGTTTGTTTGGGGAAAACCAGCCTTTGCAAAAAGTGATGCAAATTTTTAGATCTTACTGTTACATTGTGGATATTTTTAAGTACTTTCTGATTCCTAGCTTTTCGTAAACTTTAGCCAACTTTGACCAAATTTAGGAAGTCCTGATTTCCGTCTAAGCACTATATTTACCTGCATTGACAATTTAGTTAGGACTTAATCATGATATGTTCACTAATAAGAAAAATATTGTATTTTTCATTATTCAACTCGCTTGTTGCCATTCAGACAATGAAAACTATTGTCTAGATAATATCACATCCCAATATTTTTGACCATTTTTCTTAATGACTGTTACCGTTTTATAATTCTGCCAATGAGAAGAGACTCAAATGTAATTCTATTTTTGCCTGGCTTTCACTTTTCCTTTCAAATTACTTGCAGCTCAGCAGGGAAAGAACTATACTGCAGCTAAAAGCAGTCTGTGACTCCAGTACTACATCTCCAAAATGTGGTCAGACTTGGATGCATTCATGCCTTTTCCCCTTAAAACTGTAGACTTTCACTGTACTTGCTTCTAAGTGTTTTTACAGAGGCAGTCCAGTGCATTATGATAAATGACCCAGATGCCCCTCACAAGCTTTCAGAAAGTCGATTCAGCACCGAATGAAAAGAGTCATGGCACCAAACCGAATGTATCTTGAGGCTGTGCAGCTGAAAGCTTGTTTTTTGTTATTTATTTATTTATTTATTTTACAGTTGACCTGCAGCTTTGAAGCAGACATCTTGCTTCTACCTACAATCCGTTGTGAGTGCTGAAAAGCCACAGCCAGTCAGAATGAGGTTTTCTGGCTTGTAAAACTGCTGCCTCAGATTGGATTTGCAGTGGTTATTTAGTCACCTCTTAGCTCGCCGGGGATTTTTCTCCAAAATGATGCCTCCGGTTTACTTTGTGGAGCTGAAGCACAACTGAAATCAATGTAGTTTTTAAATTTATAAAGCCATCTCTCTCTCTCTCTCTCTTTCACTATTAAAACAAAGTAAGGAGGACTAACTTCAGAAATAAGGCTATGTTCACACCGCAGGCAAAAGCGACCCAAATCCACTTTTTTTTTGCCCCCATGAGACCTATATCTGACTTTTTCACAACAGTGCGAATTGCCCAATTAAAAAACAAAAAGAAAGAAAAAAATCTGATTTTGCCACTTCTATATTTGATACTGAGTCAGTTACGCATCCAATTGCACCTGCAGTCTGAATGTTTATGTTTTATTAGGCTTTTATGTTATTGTTGTGTCATAGCTCTGCACCCGAAAAAAGCCAGATGCTGTAAATCAGGACAAAAACAATGTCTGAAAAACATAATTATGAACTTATGAAAGAAGTGTGTGTCACTGAAGCGCGTTACGTCACAATCAAAACAGTCCTTGCTTTGACTACACATCCAAACAGACTTCTCTGCAGAAATTGCAGTCAGTTCTCTACAAAATGCCATCGCTATTAGCTGTACTTTCTTTTTATTAGCTTCCTTCGTGTTGTTATGAAACCGTCGGCTCCCATTGCTGAGTAAACTTTAAAGTCAATCCATAAACGGCTCCATTCATCATTACTTTTATAAACGATGTTGCTGCTGTGCCAACATTCTTCTTCTGCGGGTCGCTTTGGGTCGTAAACCGTTCACACAGAAGTCTTGTTGTGGTCGGGTTTAATTAGTAGTATGAACAAAAGAAAAATAAAGAAATCAGACTGCAGCATCAGTCAGATCAGACTGCTGTGTGAATGTAGCCTAGAACTCATAGTAAAAGTCCTAATATTTGTTAGTTTTTTCGTCATGCTGAATTTGTGTTTTCCTTTCTTCCAGGCCCGTGTGCAAACCAAGGCCTCATCATCTCGACCTCAACACCCGTCTGCAGCTGCTGTGATCTGAAGCAGTGGAGCGCCTTACTGATTTGTTTTCCTCTTCCTGCCATCATGTCGTAGCTCAAGTCGTGCTGCTCCCCTCGCTGGGCATCCTGTCTCTTGGATCTCTTTGCATTTTTTTTTTTTTTTGATTTATCCTTCCTTTCACCCCCTCCTCACCTCATGTGGTGATTTCTAAGTGAAGCACCGGTAGCGCCTCTTCTGGCGCCATGAGCAGCCTGCAGCATGGCAGCACAGGCTCAGAGCGAGACCTGCACTCCGCTGCGTCCTCCGTTAGCCTCCCCTCGGTCAGAAAGAATCCCAAAAAGCGACGTCTGTCCCTCCACTCGTTCTTCGGACGCAGACTCCGACCCGAACGGGACTCTAAGCGGAAGTCCAGGACTCTGTCATCCGGAGCGGACGGCGTGGTCAGCGTCGAAAGCGTGCAGCCCGAGGCCGGCGTCGACAAAGTCTCCGCCCAGCCTCCGTCGGACGTGGCGTCCACGTCGGCAGGGACGGGGTCTTCGTCGGACCTGCTGGAATGCCCGCTGTGCCTGCTTCGCCACACCCGGGATCGCTTCCCGGACATCATGACCTGCCACCACCGCTCCTGCGCAGACTGCCTGCGCCAGTACCTGCGCATTGAGATCTCCGAGTCCCGCGTCAACATCACCTGCCCCGAGTGCTCGGAGCGCTTCAACCCCCACGACATCCAGATGATCCTGGGAGACCGAGCCCTCATGGAGAAATACGAGGAGTTCATGCTGAGGCGGTGGCTGGTGGCCGAGCCGGACTGTCGCTGGTGTCCCGCTCCTGACTGCGGGTAAGATGGAGGGCGGTGAGATCACATGGCATCAAACTGTCTCTTCATCACACATTTTCCATTTAATTTTAATATATGTATACAGTGCCTCACAAAAGTATTCAAACTTTTTTGCAGTTTGTCACTTTATAGCCACAGACTTCATTTGATTTCATTGGAATTTGATGTGATTAATAAGCATTTAGTACAGAATTGTGAAGTGAGAGGGAAATGATTCGTGTTTTTTCAAAATCTTTACAAAAAAAGAAAACTGCCTCTGTGTGCAAAAGTGTGTGATGAATAATTAACAACACATCACCCTGAAACCGCCACGAAGCGTGTTTTTGACATCATCGTGCTGTGGGAATGCTTTGTTGCAAATTGATCGGAATAGAGAAAAAAAAAATCCCTAAACAATACTGTAAGGTTTGTCCCTAAATCAGCTGCATGAAGGATAAATGACGCAGAATTTAAGTTACGGGCATCGGAGGAAAGCATCCTGAGTTGTAACGTCTCCACGGTTACTAGCGTTAGCATCTCCGTCATTAAAAGTATACATCAGCATTGGCATCAAAGGTAGGAAAACAACAGGCCAAATATGTTAATATGCAGAATTTGCACGCATGCTACTTAAAATATATTGCGTCCAAATATGTAGTGTGGTACATATTGTACAGCCTTCCACACTTTTCAGATCTTTATTTGAAACAAAAATTAAGAAACGTATAGTTTGTTTTTCCTTTTGCACCACAATAATCTGCTACATTGTGTTTATCTGTCACATTAATATCGATATTTTATACCTTCTAGTTTGTGGCTCTTAAGTGAGGAAATATGAAAAAGTTGTATGTGAATACTTTTAAAAACTAACATTGTACTCATTTAGTAAGTACAAAATTATGTTTTTCTAATACTTAAACAAAAAGAAAGCTAAAAATCAACACTTCAGGACTGATTTTGCTCCGTAAAAATCAACCCCAGTGTCTGCACTCGTGCTTGGTTTAAACTTCGGTTTCAATACAGCCGTTTTGTTTTTGTAAGTGAAATGAGTCATCCAAGAGAGATTTGAACAGGAAGTGCTTACTATCATTCTGCTGACGTGAATCTGTCCCATTGTTTTAGACTGTGGGAGAATACGAAAGGTAAAAATAGACGTCAGAAACGCAAATTCAATTCATGGTTTTGTTGCTGATCATCATTAATGCACAGAACCCTGAGTGGCACGGTGACGTATAAAACCACCTTAAACGTGGAAAGAAAAACAAATTAAAGACGTACTCGAATGTAAAATCATAAAACTTTTACACTAGGTATTTCAGACTTCACCAAATAAAAGAAGAGGTTTGGTGCTTTCTGCTTGAGCTGCTGGAGGAGGTCAGAGTTCATGTCAGTTTATGTTCAGGTCAGTTTGGAGCCAGGAGGGATTCAACAGTTTACTCACAATGACCAACACCGACCTGCTGACCCTGTTTTCTTGCTCTCTCGGCTTCATCACAAAACACCGTACTGTTAGGCCATGGCAGCCACTCGACACACAATGCACCTCTGCACCACACATGGCTCCTGTGTTTGAATTGTTCCAGAAACTTCACGTCTTTGTATTGATTTCCCCATTAACCTGAATTTACTCTCTATGCTGCATTTGCTGCATCAGCAGCTGAAATAATGCTCTCAATCCCAAATAACTGATTTGACCCACTGCCAAACTATCAGCTCCGTATCTGTTGCTGTTACATAATTGTGGTTTAAAGGTGTTGTTCGTTAGCTGAACTAGTTTTTCGAGTGATAGATTCTGTATTTGTAGCAAAGTTAAAGTTTGCCTAGTTTTAGATCCTGATGTGCTTCCACTTTTGTTTTGTTACAGCGTTGCATTGGTGCCGATTTTCTGTTTTTATGTTGATAATCAGATTTGTTTTCAAGCTTAAACTTATTTTAGCTTGCAATTAGAGTGGAATTATTTGGCATAATTGTCTTTTAAACAAATGATGAGGCTTGTCACATTAACAAATTTTAGCTGGACGATAAATGGTTCCAGAAATTATTGCGATAAATGATAATGTATTTGTTTAGAGACCATTTTCAACTAAAACACAAGAACCAGAAGAAAAACAAACTATTAAAAAAAAGAAATAAAAGCCACACAAAACTGAAACCATAAATAAAATGAATAAATATAAATTTATATATGTGTTTTACTAATATTAATTAATTGTTTGTTGCTACAGTGTCAAATGACACCAGTAACTCTTTTAGCAGCAATGTAATGTTAGCAGATGTTGGTGGCAGGGATCCTGTGCAGCTTTACAAGTCAGGAAAGGGATCAAATGTGGTTCAGGTGTTTTCCAGATCTTGATGGATGTGGAAAATATTTATATTTTCCTGGCTTTGCTCCCTGCTTTACTTACTGCATGATAAGAATCTGGTTAAAAAAAAAGCAAAGGGCCTTCAGCTTTTTTTTTTTTTTTATTTAAAAGATCCTCCGAATCCATCTGTCGCCCCCTGTCAGTACTTGTTTTCATCTATTCGTCCATCCGTCTCTTTGTTCTTCGTTCTGCCATTGCGTTCATCTATATATCCATTTCTTTATCGATTCATCATCCAACCAGCTTCTTTCTTCTTGCCTGCAGTTTTTCCAAGTTTCATATTCATAGCCTGACCTCTGTGGAAAAATGTGCCTTAAATACACAGAGAATCATAACTGCAAATGTGGAAATGTCTGAAAGGAAGGGTTTTATGGTCGGTATAAAAAGTTTTATTCCAATCACTGTACTCTGTCCAGCTGCCTTTCACTTGTGCGGAATATTTTATTTCCTGCAGCGACTCAACTGCAAACATTTGAACTTTCAAAATCACTTTGACTGCACATTGCCTCCCTCAGCTTATCACCTTGAAGGTGTCAATATGTTTCCAGTGTGGGTCTCTGGAGCTTCCTGTCCCAGTATGAGGTTGGATGAACAGAGTAGGAATTAAAACTTCCCAGGAGTCGGGTTTGCTTGCTGAGAAGTGCGTGGGGAAACACGGGGAAGTGAAGACGTCAAAACGTCCATTTGGAAATCAGCTTTTACATAATATGTCATCAGTTTGCCACACTGAAGTGTTAGTTTGGAAACTGTCTGGACTGGCTTTTTTTTTTTTTTTTTTTTTAGCCATACGTTCTGACGTACAACTTCAGCTGTTAAATATGTACAGCATGGGGGTTTGTACGTTTAAAAAGAACGGCATACGTCATAATAAGTATTGTTCTGATTTTCTAACCTTTTTTTTTCTGCGTTTTCAGTTTTATTTCCTCCCAAGTCAATCTGTTAATTTCCTCTGAAGAAAAAGGTAGCTAAAACTGGAAAATTTTAGGGAAATCTTTGAGGTCACATTTAACCATAATTATGAAAATGTTCCGTTTAAATGTATGACTTGAATAGATGAGTCAGGAGGAGAATAGCTTGTTCCTTATTCAGCTGAATTGTATTTCAAAAAGTTTGTCATGAGAAGATAGAGTGGTAAATTACCATAATGACGTTATTTAATTTTATGTAATTAAATTTTTATAGTGTCTTTATTGTCTGTGTTGTTTTTTACTCACTTTTAGAATGAGGAAGCTCAGGAAAACAGCTGCTAGCTTTTTCAGTCATCATAGATGGAAAATAGTTTATTTAAAGCAGCTGCAACTGCAATCTACTTTTGGTTTTGTTTACTTGTAATTTTTGAATTATAAGAATGGGTGGATAAATCTTGTAGTTGTAGCTCATTGGTCTGCAGCCTGGAACTCTTTTGACCTTCCGCAATACCTCTTGATATTTGGCTAAATTAGAGCAGAACCAACTAATTTAAATCTTTTGAAAAGGCAGAAGTTTTTGCTGTTGTTGTTGTTGTTGCATAGAATAAATCCTGCATTGAATTTCCACAACAAAATGACAAAAATTATCAGCGACGTTTATTTTTTTTTTCTCTCATCACTAGGTTGGAAACTAAACGCCTTTTAAGATGTTATGTTTTTCTTTGTTTTAAATCTTAAAAACTGAAATAAAATGAACACAAATCTCCTGCAGTAGATGCTCATTAATACAGTCCAGGTTCAGATCTCTAAACCAGCATTCTGCTCCTATTTTTTCCCCTCCTCCAGGTATGCCGTCATTGCTTTCGGCTGTGCCAGCTGTCCAAAGATCACCTGCGGCCGTGACGGCTGCGGCACAGAGTTCTGCTACCACTGCAAACAGCTGTGGCATCCCAACCAGACATGCGACACGGCGCGGCAGCAGCGGGCCCACAGCCTGCGGCTCAGGAACTTCAGGTCGTCGTCCCTCAGCTACAGCCAGGAGAGCGGAGCAGCTGGTATGAAGGACGATTGGTCACTAAGTCTTACTTGGTTTCGAAGTTTCTCCGTAGCCGGGTTTGCTACCTCTTCACCGACCCGTTCGCTTATGAAATAAAGTTTTATGAGTCTGACGGTGGTTCTAAAGTGGATTTGATCAACTGGGACAAATCCTTTAGATCACATCAGGAGCAAAAAACATCAGTCATGCTTTCAAAAATGCAAAAAAAAAAAAAAAAACATTAATCAAAAGGAAATTTTAGAAGATTTCACAGTAATTGTGTTGTTCAGAGGGTCTAACCTTGTCAGCCTCTCCTAGTTTGATACTTCGTTCACTTTGGCCTCATTAGTCGGTGGGGGAGTAAAAGATGCTTCCTGGACCCTCCTACATAAAGGAAATGAGCTTCTGTCTCTGTTTAGCCAGTCCTGGTTTTTGTTGACATAATTGTTGCCATTATGCCCAACAGTCTCCCTTGTTTTTGCCTTGGTTTCCTTATTTGCTTTGATGAAAGAATCACACATTCTTAAATACCACATATACCTTCAGCGTCACAGATTATTTGTCTAGATGTTTACATCATTTTATGTTGTTTACATATAAACGAGTTTGCAGTAACAGGAACGGTCTATGACCTCCATCACATTCTGGTTTGTTTCTCCTTTAACCATCCGTTGCAGGTGATGACATCAAGCCGTGCCCTCGCTGCTCTGCTTACATCATCAAGATGAACGATGGGAGCTGCAACCACATGACCTGCGCCGTCTGCGGCTGCGAGTTCTGCTGGCTCTGCATGAAGGAGATTTCTGACCTTCACTACTTGAGGTGAGCCGCGTGACGCCACGGTTTTAACATTCACCGCTTTGTTATCGAGGTTCCGCTTTATTAGCTTAGTTTCTCTTATTATCTGTTGTTGTCATCAACACCAAAACCTGTCCTGTCACCTAGTCAGTCATTTCTGTACTTATGCTGACGAGCAGAAGATTTGTCGGTTTCACATTTGGTGTTTTACTCTTTGCTCTTTCGCTTTAGTGGAAAACATTTAGTGTTTTTCCTGCATTTAGTGGTGGATATATGAAGAAGAAACTCAGCTTTTTTGACCTTTGAGTCGGTGTTTGTCGGCCCTGGTCCTCGATGCAAACTGTCCTGTGTTGTTAAGATGTTTTCCTGTTTCAAAGCACACAGTTTAAAGCGACGGATCATTAACAGGCTCCTGCAGAACTTGTTGTCCTTGTTCCTTTCAAATGTCCCCAAGTTTAAATGCATGTGCGTCAACAGTGCAGAGTTTGGGGTTTCTCCTTGGAGGAATTTTCCGAAACATTCATTTTTAGAGCCAGATTTAAATCCCCATCCTGGACCAGGATTTATAAGGATATATTTTATTTTATTGTCTACAGTAATAATGTGTACAGTTTTTCTCTTGGAGATCTAACAGACCGTTTCCTCTCCGCTGTCTTCTCAGTCCGTCGGGTTGCACATTCTGGGGGAAGAAGCCATGGAGCAGGAAGAAGAAAATCCTCTGGCAGCTCGGGACGTTGGTGGGAGCGCCGGTGGGAATCGCTCTGATTGCCGGCATCGCCATCCCAGCCATGATCATCGGGATCCCAGTCTATGTGGGCAGAAGGGTGAGAACTTCCCTAGCACCGGTTTATTTATTCACAGATCTCTAGTGTAGTAATTACTGCTTTAAGTCTGACCTAAAAATAGTGTGCTTGATCCGTGAGTTTGTCAGAATCAGGAGGGAGAAAGAGAAGAGTAAAAGCGAAAGTTGGAGATAGCTAAGTGTATCCTAGCGTAGTTTGTTTACCTCTTCATATGTAACTTCACACTGCACAATCACAGATTACAAAGAAAGATTTTTGGCAGAAATAGATATGAAAACGTAGCATATTTATGTTGCCATAATTAATGTAGCCCACCAAAGTTGTATTTAAAGTAGAAGATTGTTAAATAATCTTCTAAAAGATCTCTTTAAAGGAGATGTTTGTACTTATGATTCCCAGATAAGTAATTCTGTTTGATTACATTTCCATTAAGAAAAAAAAAAGTTTAATTTGGTACTGATTTTATACATTTGTTTTTACCTGAAAGTGACAAAACATGCTAATGATCACACAGATCGTAAATAAAAGTTGTTGTTTTTTTAAAGTAATAGATTTTTCCTCCTAAAGGGGAACATTATGTCTAGACAAATGATCCATACTGGAGGTTCGGTTGTCGAAATCCAGATAAAAGAGGTCAAAGTAGACGGGTGGTCCCAAAGTTATCTCCTGATTAAAAATGACTATCGTGTCACTTCTCCTCGTCTGTTTTACTCTAAACAGACACTATGCTGAGAATGTGTATTTATGTCCATAAGTATAATGCTTATCATCAAAAAGTGTATGTATTTTAGTAATTTAATTTAATTAAATAAAAAACAAAAATCCTTGCTGGAGAAGCAATCTGTGTAGTTGAGTTGAGGAAAAATCAGTAAAAGTGACAAGAAAAGTGCCACATTGTGAAAAACGATACAATATACTCTCATACTCAAATTTTCTGTGAAAATAAATGTTGGGCTTTTAAATGGCAGCAAATCAGAATCACCTAAATTCACAGAAGTAAATTCTTTAAATATTACAGAGTGCAGTTAATATATGTTGTGTACGTTCCTTTATTTGAATGAAATTACTGTACTAAAAAAAATTGCAGCTGTACGAAACGAAACACTTATCCCGCTCAACAATTTGCCTCATCAGATACATAATCGCTACGAAGGAAAGGACATCTCGAAACACAAGAGGAACTTGGTGATCGCTGGAGGCGTGACGCTGTCGGTCATTGTGTCTCCTGTGGTTGCTGCAGTCACTGTTGGTAAGAGATCACCTTTCTTCTCTTTCTTTGTTACACAAGTTGTCTTGACATTCATAGTAAATCAAGAGCTTCCAGTAACTGGGTGAAACTATATTTATTTTTTTCCTGAATCTCTGCTTTCGCTGATATAGAAAGGAAATGTTTACTCCATCTGTTTCCTGTGCGTCTCAGGTATCGGCGTTCCCATCATGCTCGCGTACGTCTACGGCGTCGTCCCGATCTCTCTGTGTCGGAGCGGAGGCTGTGGCGTTTCCGCCGGTAACGGGAAAGGGGTTCGAATCGAGTTCGATGACGAAAATGACAACATCGGCACTGGGGCAGTGGCCACAGGTGAGAATCTCCTAAATACTAAAAAAGATGGAAATCTGAAGAAGTAACAGCAATTCTAAAGTTCTCAACAACTAGCCAAAAATTACAGGGAAAAACCTTGACACTGGGTTTGTAAGGTTCCTTGAAAATGCTTGAATTCCAATTAAATGTATTCAAGTGCTTGAATAAAGTCAGTGAAACTGCACAGTTTTGCAATAAAGTGCAATCTAACGTTTGATTAAAAGCCTAAATTTGGAAAACTTTACTTGGAGATGAACCTAGGTATTTTCATACATGTGATAAAAAGAGGTATTTGAAAGCTGTTGGAATGCATTTAGCTTGAAGCACAACGTTTGTGTGTGTGTGTGTTTGGTTTACTTAAATCAGCAGTTGTTTTTACCAGCGCTCATGTTGTGTTGCAAATATTTGTCCTGGGCTTGGTCAGGACAAGTATTTGGGTGTGTGAGGCTGAGCTGGCTTAGGTTTCCCTTTGAGCTGTTGAGCGTGAGAGAGGAGACACAGAGTTGTATTAAACATCACAATGGCAGTTTTTGGAAATATTTTTAGAACAATAAGTGTTAAGCATGAGTTAAATGTTTGCATCCGTCTGATTTTTGTCAAGATTTCATGCACTTTCTGTCTTACCCACAAAGTCATAGAATATTTGGGTTTACTGCAGCTAACTCAGTACGTGTTACTTTTTTTCCTCAAACTGCTCTATAACTAAACAAATCTCCCTCCCAGACACGACGTCTGTGGCGGAAACTCGGCTCAACAACCCGAGCCTCGGCGACGGCGCGAGCGTCGGCGGCCTGACCGGCCTGAGCCTCAGCGTCAGCGGGAGCCACATGGAGCGCTGCGGCGTGAGCTCCGCTCAGCGGGACAACATGAGCGACAACGCCAGCACCACGGCGCTCGCCGGAACCAGCATCACGGGCAGCCTGTCCGGCAGCTGCTACAACCGGTAAAACGCTGGAGCTGGACGCTCCCTTCGTTGTTAAGATGCCTCCTTTAATGACATTAGCGACGGCTTAATAGCCGAAGCATATGACGTGGGAATAATGCGTCTTGTTTTTCCAGTTTCAGGGCTTTTTTTAGACACTAATCGTGGTTCTTTTCCATAGTCGTGTTCTAAGCAATGGAAAGACACAAAATCTAGCGTCTAGGACAAATGCCTTTGTTTTGTCTCATTTCAAGCATACTAACTTTCAAAAATAATTATTTCTTGCTATTTTCAGCAGGGAGATGGCAAGAATTTTCCTCCTGAATATTAAGAAGGAAATTCCTTAATATTCAGGAGGAAAGAAGTATTGGTTATAAGTGAAATAATTTGCCAGCGAAACGAGAACATTGTCATCAATACCACAGATTTATTGACTTAAAACAAGCTCCTATTTCTTGCTGTAAAGTTACATGTAATTTCGCTTTGTCTCACTTCAAGTGTACTAAGATTCTTACACCAGAAACTAGACCAAAAATACTTGCTGAGATTTTGTGTTTTTGCAGTGTAATAATTAGTTTGAATTAATTGTTTGTTTCCTCCAGGATGGAAGTGCAGGCCGACGTCCAGAAGGAGCGCTGCAGCTTGAGCGGCGAGTCGGCCACCGTCAGTCTGGGGACGATGAGCGACAACGCCAGCACCAAGGCCATGGCCGGCTCCATCCTCAACGCTTACATGCCGCTGGAAAGGTTAGCATTCAGATCACACTCGTCCCGCAGCGAGCAGCTGCTCACACACGTTATTAGCGGCTGGTGAGTGTGTGAGCTGGAACTAGTTTGGAGCTAGTTCTGTTTTTCAAACTGTATTCTTAAAAATTTTTTGATTATTTTCTAGTCGTCCAACTCAAATAAAATCAAAGGAAAAATGTAACTGTGCTGGAAATCTACCAAAATGACACCCCAGGTTGTATCACACATACTTTTAATGAATCAGAAGAAATGACCAAAAATATATATTTTTTTCCTACCGTGAAACATCTGTCAGGATTTTGACAGCACAATAACATAAGAAAAGGAAGTGAAATCGGGGCTTGAATTGTATTAATTGTAATTAAAATAATTGTCAACTAATTTAGTAAGCGATTAGCTTTAGTATCTAGACTCTAAAACAGGACATTTGTTGAAAGAACAGGAGACACTAAGACAAAACTGTACAAAGATTATATACATTTTGATAAAGACAAACACCTTCTTTGTCTGTAAATATGTTCCATCTGGAACTACTCAAATGGCGAAATTTAAAATAAATCTCCTTTTTTAGCAGCTTTTGCTATCCAGAAAATAAGTAACAGATCAAGCATAGCCAGAGAAAATCCTCAGAAAACGATCGTTAGCAAGTGAAATCGTCAAATTGAGCCAACAATTTCCATTCCATTTTACTTTGTGTGAAATGCGTAGATCCGTTAAATGTGGCGTTTGTTTTGCAGGGATGGCAGCCTGGAGGCTCCTGCGGACTCCGAGTCCAAGCAGGACAAGGTGAGGCACTGCAGCGCCAGCAGCAGCATGGATGAAGCCAGCTGCAGCAGCAGCTCAGCCGCCATCAAAGCGGCTGGCGCCGATGGATGCGTGTGCTCGTGTCCCTCCGCGTGCAGCTGCGGGCAGCCCGGCAACCAGTGTGGCCCCTTGGCCTCTTGGTCCAAGGAGCCCACCGCCGCTACCGCGGGCAAAAAGTGCAAAAGTAAGCTCTGGAGGAGAGCGAGCAGCGGCGGCGGCAGCAGAGGAGACAGAAGAGTGAACGAGACGCAGGGCGACATCGACTCTCAGCTCCTGGAGCAGCGAAGCGCCAACTCCTCCGAGCTCGATTCTCCGTCTCTGAGCGGCAGCCTCCCCTCGGTGGCCGACTCGCACTGCAGCCACTTCTCGTCCGAGCTCAGCTGCTCGGACCCCGAAACCGCTAAACCCGCCCAGATGGACCCTCCGCCCCACCAGCCCACCATCACACCTCTACCTGAGGTGGAGCACGACCACCTGGAGCAGCTGCCCCCTCAGAGCGGCCACGCCGCCCTCGCCCACCGCCTGCTGGCCTCATCCCCACCCGCCTCACCGAAAGACAGGTGCAGCGCGACGTTCCTGTACATCAGCGAGGAGAGCGCCGGAGAAAACGCGGAACCGGAGGAGTTCGTTAAAGAAACCAGCAGAAACTCTGCCGCGCTGCCGGTGAGCCCCGCCAGGAAGCGCTGCATACAGACAGACATCTGAAGACGCTTCCCCCGTCCTCACGCTGTGCGACCGCTGCAAACTCTGTTAGCTTTACCATCAAATTTAGGAGAAATCAGGGTTACGGATGCAAAGTGAAGCTGTTTAGTAACAGAAGGTGAGAAGGAAGGAGGCTGGAAGTGTAGAAAATGGCCTGGACTTCTGGCTTCCAGAAGTTTCAGCCAGTTTTCAGAGCAGTGTGCTTGTTTGCAAGTAGATTTGAATGTACATGAACATGTTTGAAGCAGGCTTTGAGCTTTGTGAGATTCTGCAGATCTGTGACGATCGGCATAGAACGGACAGTTCCTTCATGTCAGAATGATTTCCTAAAACCAGTGTGTGAGGATGTTCCAACCAGGAGATTGTCCCCCTTTTTAACATCCAGGATATCCTTTTTTTTTTTTTTAAAGTTCGAAACCTGTTGTTATTTTAGCACCAAGTTGCATTTGTCATCTCCTTGGTCAGGCTGATGATGTTTTGGTTTATTTACTTAGCTATGATATTTCTAATTGGAGATTTTTCAGCCAGTAACATTTTTATAAGTTTCCACTTCAGTCGTTTGCAAACAGACTTGCTGAAAAGGTTCATGAAAAATGTAGCGGTTTGCTTTTATCGCTGTAACATTTAGTGAGTTTCGTTTAACGTTTCAGCTGCTTTCTGAGCCACTTTTTGTCCACAAATCGGCCTGTTGAGCACAGAGTGGAAAATATGACAAACAGGAGAGAAAAGGGTAAAAAAAAAACATTTAGATTGTTGGTGTTGGATAACCAAAATCCAGTGCATGGGAATGTAGGAATAAAAATAAAATGACCTTGGAAACGGACATAATCCCCGACCAACAACGGATATCAGGAATTGATTTTAATCATTTGAAAAAGCCTCGATCGGGACATCTCTAGCTTTCCTGATGCTGGTTGGAGTAAGTAATCTAAGCTGCTATCATGAAACCTAAATGTTTTAATATTTAGTCTGCAGAAAGCTTTTTTTTTCTTTTCTTTTATGGTAATCAAAGAATGATCCGGTGTTTCCAGTTTACTCTTGGATTCCCTCAGGATTGTTAGAGACTCGAGTTTAACGGTGGGACCAGATGATACAGTAGCCTCCTATATTTTCCAGAATCATCAGACATTAGAAAAATTATATATTTGCTTTTGTTTAAGATGCGACTCATGTTTCTGTTTTACATATTTGCTTATTTTTATGTTAAGCTTTGGGGAAAAATTGGTCTTTGATCCGAATTTGTTGGTGTAACCGAATGATTTTTGTCACGAATCCAGATTTTTATGTTTAGATATTCTGGACTGAAGCCAGCCAGCTTCGTGCTTTCTTCCCCTTCATGGTTTCCCATCTGCACTGGTGAGCAGGACAGCTGTGTCTCTGCTGATTTACCAGATTTCACTACATGTTCAACGTACAGTTGAACCATAAACACATTAATTTAATGCAGTTTCTTAAATCATATATTCTACACAGAACAGAGCCCTATTTTTTACACACAAATGTGTAGCATTTCTTACAAATTACAGGGCTTGTTGTAATAAAATGACTTCGATTCAACCAAACTATGTTTGCAATAATGAAATAAGCTTTTTAGACAACTATACCGTCTGAGCTGAAGTTTCCTCTGTGGAAACGCCTGAACTTTATTTGAACTCATGTTGTGCATTGAGAACTTGCTTCTGTATCCAAGCACATTTATCCTAATATTCGATATTCTGCAGTGACTGTACAGTATTGGTGATAAATTATTTTTTTTTTTGTTTAAATCCAAATGAAACTTTCTGAATCTGAGCTTTGAGTGTACTTTACCAGCAGGCTTTTTTTTTCTTATGTTTTTAATTTTCTTTTTCAGAAATGACTGATGCAAGTAATTTTATATTTGTCAGCACCCGACAGTGCCTTGGGAAAATTTCCTGTGTGTATAGTGTTTTTGTCTTATTTCTTCCTGTCTTCATGTGATAAATATACAAAAATTGTTGGATGATTTTCTGCCTATTATTAAAATGGACAAAATCTTATGAACCTCACACAAGCGGTTTTGGCCGACCAAAGACCACGCCGATTATACCAAATTATTTGATTGGTTTGAGGTTTTAAAATGTTCCCTTGAAGCCATCATAGTTTATGTAAAAAAATATATAACCACCATGTTGGCATTAAATGCATTTTCTCCAAAGTGACACTAAAGCTACATCTCGAGTTTTGCAGCCTGACCTCTTCTAGGCGAAATCAACCAGCTGTTTATGAGCTGCTTTAAAAAGTTGGAGTAGGAATTTCTTTATTTTAGATGAACCTCGGAGTTTATTTTCCTTTTAATTCCTCTTCCTGTTTGAGTTCTGGTGTCATTATTTGTTGTCTAATTTTGCTGAAAAGAGGCCTATGCTATTTGGAAACTTCTGTATTTTGACTCCTTGCATCTGAATGTGCATGTTGATGCATATCCTTCAATAAAAAAATTAAAAAAAAATATCGATCAAGCATTTTCTTGACGAAACGTTTTTGCATTTTGGAAGCTCAGTTTTTGTTTTTCAGGTTTTCCAGCAATCCACATTTAACCATGTTTAATTTCTTGTTTATTCTTAATATAGTTTCCCTTTGTGGAATTTTTCTTTTTACTTTTTGAGAAAGGCATGTGTTGCTTAAAAGCTGTAAAAGGAAAATTACAAGAAGAAACAGCAGTCATACTGTCGTTTATTTACATTTGTATTCAGTTATTTACATACAGTACATGCTTTTACATTCCATGATACTAAATAACAAAAAAAAAACATTCCAGAAAGAGCTGTTTATTCATTTAAATTGGAAGGGATTATTTTTAATCAAAGAAAAAAAATGAAATAAAAGATGTGGCACATCGTGTTGTATAGAGTTACATGTTCTTGTAGTGATGATTTGAAATCCCTCCTGTTTAAAGTAGGAAATGAGAATATTTTAAAAAGATCTTACTTACTTTCAGAGTTTGAATTTTTTAGACAGCTTCGCTCCAATACTAATCAGAACTGTTTTCATAGTATTTTCAACAACATGCCAAGTTTTCTGTAGAAAAAAGGCAAAGATTTTTGTAGATTATTCAAACTACCTTATTTTCCGGACTAGAGAGCGCACCATACTATAAGCCGCAGCTACAAATTTAAAAACAAATAAAATGGAAACGTACATCATATATAAGCCGCACCGGGTGAAAAGCCGGTGGTATCTCCGCCGCTCTCGGTTTTCCATAAGGGTCCAGCAGAGGGCAGCAGAGGGCTGCATCCTAATAAACCTTCTGGATTTATTAAGGACACAGCCCTCCGTCTCCAACGCCAAACAGGGTTTCGTTCACCACGAGTTTACGTGCAGCGGCTCTATTTCCCTCCTGTACTGCCAGATCGATGGCCTTCAGCTTAAAAGCTGCATCATATGAGTTTGAATTAATTTCTCCGTCGTGCCTGCTGCTAGCATGTGCTTGTTCTAAAATTAACCCTGTCTTTGATTTCCAATTTTGACTTCCACTTCCTGCTAAAGCGCCCCCTGGCGGTAAAGGAAAAATCCACAGAAAAGCCGCACTGAGCTACAAGCCGCATGGTTCAAAGCGTGGGGAAAAAGTAGCGGCTTATAATCCGAAAAATACGGTATCTTTTGTTGCGATTATGTACCGTACTGAAATGCAAGAAAATTCCACAGTTTGGGTCAACTGGTGTTGAAATTTGTATTTTAATAAACAAAAATAATATTTCCTTTAAAAGCAGTGAGATTTGTTAAAGTATATCCAGAAGTATTGTTTGAATAGTTGACCAATGGAGACTTGTTTGGGCCGCAGTGCAGTGTTCAAATAACTTTTAAAGAGTAAAGGTGGCCATTTTTAACTTGGATCGTTAAATTTAGAAACATTTCATGTCACTGGTCTTATTAAATGATTTAAAAAGTATCTAAAAGTGACTCTAACCGAGTAAAAACGTCATCGGAACGGTATTAAACTTAATTTATATACTGATATGTTTGCCTTTTGTATACGTCTGTCGTCGTCCCACTATGAGTAAATGTGGTTGTGAAGACACTTCATCTTCTTCGAACCACCTTGAGTAATTATGTGTAAACCAGTGCAGTTTCACCGCTCTGATCCTGGAGGTAATCCCACAATTACAGCCTTCATACTCTTGGCAGATTTTGGTTTAAAGTACTGTTAGATTTTTACCAACCTTGTTTCCTGACTGGAAATAATATTAGCGCTTTGGTGATGGAGATAAAGATTAGGGTGATGACAACGAGGCCTTCCTGCGTCAAAGTTTATAATGTTTATAATCACATATAAAGTTACATACCAGTGCAAAAATGAAAGATAAATTGGTTGATTTTTCCCCCCACTGATTTTTGAGAAAAGTATAAAAAATTTTCAACATGCCATTTGAAAAAAAAAAAAAAAAAAAAAAAAAAAAAACCCCCTTTAAAAAGTTTTTTAATTTTTTTAAAAATTCCTTTCTCATTTTTTTAAAATTAAAATGTGTTTGATCAGGAGCAAGGCGTAAAGCAAAGTTACACATTAAAAGAAACAACTGTCCTGTCTACTGACCCTCAAGCCAAAGCATAATCCACAAGTCCATGTAGTAAAAGAAA